AGCCCCCCTCTGCACGGAACCCCACTGCATGCCGGCTGAAGACCCTTGATCTCGAAGGCAACGGGTCTTGGCTTCGAAATGGCGCCACCGTCGCCTCCAAGCACAGGCCGCCAGACGCCCTCATTCCTGCCGCGCCAGTGTCCTTATCGTCGTTCTCAAACTTCTCCGCCGTCTCGATTGTGATGGTGAATATCGAGTGGGATCTGCACAGACGCAGCGGGGGGGGGAGCGGAGCACAGTGCGGCCGGTGCAGCAAAGGCCAGGGCCAGCCCCTCAATCTCGTCTGGCCCCACCCGTCCTCCTCCTCTTCCTCCTCCTCCTCCTCCTCCTCCTCCTCCTCCTCCTCCCCATCATCCTCGATCCCCCATCTTCCCTGAGGCAGCCAGATGCAGCCTTGCGAGCGGGACCCAGTCCGGTGTAGCCTCCAAACACTGAGATAGATGTTGTAATTACCCTGACGACCAACTGACTCGATCGAGTCCCTTCCCGAAGACGCCTTGAACGTGTCAGGCTTCGGGGCCAATGCACGAGTCCATACAATGGTCTGGCACTTGCTGAAGTCGGCAGTGCCAGCATTTGCTGAAGTCGGCAGTGCCAGCAGATCAGGTCATCATGTCGGCGTGCGCGTCCGACGAGCCTCCTATCGCGACATACTTGCAGCTGCCCTGGGGTGCGCCGTTGGACTGGGTTTGATTATCGGTAGTAGAGAGGAAAGGGCCATATCAGCACAGCAGATGCAGTGAACTGTTTGAAGACCATTTCCAATAGGACCATGGACGCGGGAATGGTTGAAGGTTCCAAGAGCGATGGACGCGGGAATGGTTGAATATTCCAAGATTCACGGGTCTACGGCGCAGCAGGACGCCAAATACACGAAGGACGCGGAGTGAAGCACGCGAATTGATTCTGCTTCACACCAGTGTACGTGACGGGTTCGCAGAATCGGACGACATCATCAAGAATATACCAAGAAATGGGAGCCGTGTGCCACGTGGAGCCTCGAGCTGAACGGGGCCTGATCGAGCACATGCGGGTGGAGCACAAGCAATCTATGCATTGCCTCACTCCCTCCTCAACGTGAATCAGGACGATGTCCATCGCAAAAATGCGCTTAAGGGCCAAACAAGCTGCGAAAAGGAACAGGCCGGTTTGCCTTCGCCCGTTTAAATGTTGTCTGGTTCAAATTCGCCCGGTTTAAATTCATCCGGTTTTATTCGCCCGGCTAAAATCCATCTGGCTTTTATTCGCCCGTTTGAAATTCATCTGGTTTTAATTCGCCCAGCTTGCACACGAAAAGACGCAAAGCAGAAGCGGACGAAACCAAGGCGGACGAAACAAAAGCGGACCAAACAAAAGCAGACGAAACAAAAGCGGACGAAACCAAAGCGGACGAAACAAAAGCGGATGAAACAGAAGGCGGGCGAAACAAAAGCGGGTGAAATAAAAGCGGGCAAAACAAAAGCGGACGAAACAAAAACGAGCAAAACGAAAGCGAACGAAACAAAAGCGGACGAAACACAACTCCTCCCTCAGGAGAACCCCCCAGCAGCCCTCGAAAGTGGCGACAGCTTTCAGATCACAGCCCCCACAGGATTGGCAAGGTTTAACTCAGGTCCGCGTGGGACACCACTCCGCTGGACCCCCCAGCAGTGCTCGAAAGTGGCGATATCTTCGCCGATCGCAGCCCCCCAGGAATGGCCAGGTTTAACTCCGGTCCGCGTCGGACACCACTTCGCTGGACCCCCCAGCAGCCCTCGAAAATGGCGACAGTTTCGCAGATCGCAGCCCCCACATAGGAATGGCCAGGCTTAATTCAGGTCCGCGTGGGACACCACTGGACTTGGGGCATTTTGGCGACGTGAAGGACTTCGGGACAACGTCCGGCATCCACCAGCAAAGGTACTTATGGAATTTGCCAAGGCTTTCCACTTTCCCCGCTCTTGTTCGATATTGTGATGACGACACTTCTCACGAACGCGCACGCGCTGCTGCAGAGTCGTGCCGGACCGATTCCAGACAGTCTTTTCCCACGGGAACTCGAGTACGCGGAAGATACCTTGCTGATCGACTCTGAACTGGCCCTCGTTCAAGAGCTGATGCGCTGCATCGAGGAATGTGTTGCAGTTCAATTGGGGAAAGTTTGAGCTGATGAAAATTCGGACTGGCGCAAACACAATGGGACGCAACGGGTCCCCAACTTTAGCCAAGCAGTATTTGGTTTATCTTGGGACGTCGTTTGCTGCAGACGGGCGCATCGGCGCGGAACAGAATCGAAGAATAGAGGCGGCGAGAAGTGATTTCAAGGTGCTCGTCAGCACTTGGTCGCACTCAACAGAAGCTCCATATATTTAACGCTTGGATTGTTTCCAAGCTCATATATGTCTTGTTTACTGCTTGCCTCAACAAGGCCGAGCGGAAACGGCTTGACGGATTTCAGGACTATTGTCTAAGACGCATTTGCAGAATTCTCCCGTCGTACAACAGCAGGGTTTCGAACCGCACAGTTTTGCAGATTTTGCAGCAAACGTCTATGAGCGATATAATCGCACGTAATCAAATGTTGTACATGGGTCATTTGGCCAGAAGCCAGAAGACCCGACGAGGATCCAGTCAGAGCTTCGAAATTTGAGCTGGGTGGTCTGGTTCTCAAGCGCCTGCTGGGGAAAAGAAAAGAGGACGCCAAAGACAATCTTGGGGGGCCATGGTGCGAAAGAGTTGCGAGAATGTTGCTGGTTCCCATGAGCGACTTGCTGACTACTTCCGCCGAGAGGGTGGTGCAGCTCGCAAGTGGGAGCTGGCGGTCAAGGCACGGGCGGCTTGCTGAAGGCATCCGTGTTCGTGCACGTTTCACGTACTGCTCACGCGCTGTGGCCAGCGCCAGGCTTTTCAGTTTAGTTCAGTGGGACACCACTCCGCCCCAGCAGCCCTCGAAAGTGGCGACAGTTTCGCAGTTCGCAGTCCCGCAGCGACGGCGAGGTCACGTAGGATGGCGAGCTCAGAGCCACGCTGGCAGGCAGGACAGAAGAGGCAGGCTGGCAGGCGAGCCTGGAGAGGAGGAGGAGGAGGAGGAGGAGGTGAGAGGCGGGAGGAAAATGAGGAGGAGGGAGGCGGGAGGAAGGAAACGCGCGCGTACTTCTCAATTCAAAACCAGAACCCAACGCAGAAGGGTTTGGAAAAAAAGAGAAAGGGGGAGTTAGCTTCGAAGCGCCCCCCCTAGCCAGGGCCCCTCCAGCTGGAAATGTCGACAAACGAGGGGGAGGGAGCTTCGGAAGCGCACCCTCCCCTTGGAAAGGAGAGCCCCAGCTTACCCCGGGCCCCGAAAGAGGGGGGAGGGGGAGGGTAGCTTCTGAACCCTCTCCCCCCTGTAGCCAGGGACCCCCCAGCTACAAAGTGCGGGCAGAAGTGGAGGAGTGGGGGGGGAAGGCGAGGGTAGCTTCGGAAGCTCCTCACACCTTTTCCAAGGAAGGGGGGGGGGTAGCTTGAAGCTGGGGCCCCCCTTTTCTTATTCGGGGCCCTGCGGGCGCGCTCATTCATTTACTCATATCTATATATATACATAATATATATATATATATATATATATATGTGCATGCAAAGTCAAAACGTGTATTAAGGACGGGTGGTAAGGACGCAAGACCCTCGGAGGCCGAAGTTGGGATTTGTTGGGCGGCGGGCGACCAGTGAAAAGAGCAGGACGCAAGGGTACCCTAGATGAAGGCGCGCGTCCTTACTAGGCGCGTTGACTGTATATGTGTAGATAGAGAGGTATATAGAAAAATATACCTATATAGATATACATATACACATACAGTTACAAGTACAAACACAACATGCGTATACAAATCTATAGTAAGACATTTGATGTACACGCGTGGATGAATCGATAGGTATATCGATATATAGCTGTGCATATAATTTGCATCCCTATAGATCTCTCTATATGCATATGTATATGTAAGTATATATGAACATGGCAACCAATCCATCACAGGACTTGGCCGCCTGCCGCCTGCCTGCGGCAGGCGAACAAAAACAAGGCTTTCGGTACTGGGCGCGCGCTTCGGCTACGGCATCGTGCCAAGTCTACTTTCCCGTTCTTGCCATCGCTCGCGCATCCATTCCCCGGGCATGCTTTCGGAACCGTGCATGTCTTTTCCACAGGGTGAACACGCATGCTCCGCGATGGTCCTCGCCGAGAAAAACACGCACACATCCGATCGATGCCAAGTTTTCTTGGTGGTGATGTGAACTCCCGTTTGGAGCTTGCCTGGTGCATACACGTGAGCGGCGATCAAGCACGGGTCTTACGCGAGATGGCACAGCGACCTTACGCGGCGGCTTACGCGGGTCGCCAGTGCGGCACGCTGCATTGCAGATGAGGGCGCTCACGCGCGACCTTACGCGGGCAGCTTACGCGCCAATGTCGGCGCAGACGCTCTTGTTTGTTTTGCGTCGCTCACGTGAGCGACGGCAAGAACGGGGCCGTTCGCGAGAGGACATGCCGACCTCACGCGGCGGCTCACACTGGAGGCGAACGCGGCACGCCACATCAGAGACGCAGGCACTTTACACTCGACCGCACGCGGCCAGCGTACGCGCCGAGATCCGCGCAGACGACCTCGTTTCTTTACGCCGTCCACGTGGCGAGGACTGGGCGGGGCGCCTTAAAAGTGACCACTCGTTATTGACTGGTCATCGCCGCCCTCCTTGCCGTTGCGGCACGCGCGCGCATACTCTGCTCCAGCGTCCCTCTTCGGCTGCCCCGAACGCTGCTGCACTCGGTTACTGTACTGGGCCTTCGGACGGCGCAAACAAGTTTCATCGATTGCATGGCTCGTCTTGTCGTTTTGCAAGACAGATGACAGATTAGGTTCATCAACTATGTCGGGATAGGTCGAAGCGTACCGCCCGACGACGGCGCAGAGGCACACCTGCAGTGAGGAAGTGGCGCAGGTACCCTGGGTCACTTTCGGGAGGAGCAGCAGTTGTGAGAGGAAGAGGGGGAAGCGACGGGGGGAGGGAGAGGAGGATAAGGTGAAGGAGGGGAAGAGGGAAAAGAAGGGGGGAGGAGGGGAGGAGGGGGGGGGAGGGGAGGAGGAGGGGGCGGAGGAGAAGGGGAGGAGGGGGAGGGAGGAGGGGGGGGAGGAGGGGGGGAGAAGAAGGGGGGAGGAGGAGGCCATAATAAACCCAAGATGCATATCAGCGAGGCTGCGTTCCACCCTCCCGTCTCAGGCCCCTGCTCATACGAACGTCCCTACAAGTCTTCATGCTTCATGGTCAAAGACCAGCGCAACGTGGCCTGCCATGTTGGGCAGGGCCCTGCTTTGGAAAGGAACTGCCCTGCTTGGCACGTAATCAAGAATACGAAAACGAGAATGGTATGTTTGAACGAGGTGCCCACCGAAATCCCCCTTTCGAAGAAGGATCGCCCCCCACCCGTATGACCGTGCAATTGTTGCACAAGCTTGCGCCTGTGATCATTCACTCCGAGGGGGTCTCAAGCGAGAGCCCCAAGAAGAAAGAGCCGGCCTGTATCGGTGCAGCGCTACATGTCTAGCGATGAACCCGTTTTGGAAAAAAGATAATACACCATCCTTCTAACTGCTGCGTACAAGCCCATTTGCGCGGCGCTCAGGCGAGAGCCACATGAAAAACACGACCTGTACTAATTTCCTGAAGCTGTTGCAAGATGTTGAGACGGCGGGGCGCTGAGTCGAGCGCCACATTTTGCAAAGGCGCCATTTTCCATCCTCGAAACTGAAGCAAACTTTAAGACGGATGTGCCTGGATCCATTGCTTTTCAGTCAAATGCACGCGGCGCTGAGGCGAGAGCCAGATCTTGAAAACCACAGGTGCCCCATCCTTGAAGCCATTGCAAGCTTGTAAGTCCAATGTGCGCGGCGTGCAGGCGAGAGTCACATTTTGGAAACGACTCCCCACCACCCTTGAACCTGTCCCAATATTTTGTAACGCGCGGCGCTGAGAGGAAAGCCACATTTTGAAACCTACCCCCCTCCACCCTGGAAACTGCTCCACAAAGGTGAGGAAGTCTCGGGCGAGGCGCCTGGCACGCCCTGCCGGCACGTCTAAGGGGTGCGACCGCGAAGAATTTGATTTACAAGGACACAGGATCTCGCCATCGCTCGGACGTCCATTCCCTGTGTTTTTTTCGGTTTTGTGCGTGGCTTTGTTCGCCAAGTGATCAAGAATGCTCCTCGATGGTCCTCGCCGAAGGAAAAGTGCACACGTCCGAGCGATGCCGAGAGATGTGGTGGGAGGGGGCGAGGAAGTGGAGGCGGAGGAAGGGCGGAGGACGAAGGGCGCAGAGGAGATGAGATCAGAGGAGAAGTCGCTGGGAGGGGGCAAAGATAAAGAGAGAGAGAGAGATGAGGCACAGCAGCGCGGCATGCACCAGAAGCAGAAGACCCCCATCGCATGGCCTGCTCGACTCGCTGTTCATGAGCGTGCTGGCCTCAGCGGGGCGCCCCACCGTGTCACACCGGCCGCAAGCGTGACACACGTGGTTTCGCCCAGCTTGGGTAGGCGTGGACTAGACCCGAGACCTCGAGCAAAACAGATCCAGACCGCCCAAAACTTCGATCCTCGGTTCTCCAGAGAAAGGGGGGAGAGGACAGGAGAGGAAGAGGAGAGGAGAGGAGGAGAGGAGAGGAGAGGAGAAAGAGAGACAGAAACAGAGAGCAAAAGAGAAAGACCGAGAGACAGGAGACAGAGAGACGGACAGGGAGGTAAACAAAAACAAACATGGCATGTACACATACATATCGCTCGTAGCTCGCATGAATTGCATGCACGCGTACATAGAAATAGAGAGAGAGGGAGAGAGAGCCTCACCCGAAAGATAAGAGAGACCACGACGGTCGACTGAAAATGAATGCAGGCACCTCCGCATCTCGGGGTGGGATCGGCTCATCTTCGCTACCCTCTTCAAGGTCCTCCTCCTCCTCCTCCTCCTCCTCCTCCTCCTCCTCCTCTCACTCTTTCATATTGTCCTCGTTGTCGTTGTCCTCCTCTTCATCCTCCTCCTCCTCCTCCTCCTACTCCTCCTCCTCCTCCTCATCCTTCACCTCGTCCTCGTTGTCGACATCCTCCCCCATTCGGATATCCTCCTCCCCCTCCTCCCCCTCCTCCCCCTCCTCCTTTTCCTCCTTTTCCTCCTCCTCCTCCTCCTCCTCCTCTTCCTCCTCCTCCTCCCTCTAAGCCAGACTCCTCGTCCTCAGGTGGCAACATTGGGAGGCGGATGCCATGTAATGCCCGGGTGCTCTTCCAAATTGGTCCTTCACTGGGCCGCTGGCGTGGACGGTTCCAGGTCATGCCGTACAGCTTCGTTCCCACAGTCGGATGGCCAAAATTCACCGCGGAGTGCAGACGACACGGCGTTCCGTAACAGTGACAGGCGGACGTCACTTGATGCGACGGCCCCCGCCCGCTTCGACCCAACATCGTTTCGGTTTCCGTCCCTGTGCCAATCTGTTGTCCTAAACTTTTTTCACGGGGACATACCCCGTTCTTCACTAGGGGAACAAAAAGTGACATAAACATAAAAACTCGGAGGTCCGCGCGGATTTCTCGGATCGGCGCTGGATCCCCCTCCCTGGCGCGCGGAGCGCGCCAGGGGCGGCGCCGGAGGCGCCGCCGGGGGGCCCCAGCGCCGATCCGAGAAATCCGCGCGGACCTCCGAATTTTCACGTTTATGTCACTTTTTGTTCCCCTATTCCGATTCAACATCGGTTTTTTTTACGGGCCTTGGGCCGCACCTCGGCACCGTCACCTCCTGGGGCCCAGTGCCGCGACGGCCGTGCGGTTTGCTGCCGTCGGGGCCTGTGGCGCCCGTGGGCTCCCCTCGCCGCCAGGCTCCGCCGCTCCGCGGGGCGGCGGCCGGGCAACTGCCGGCGCCACCGCGGCAGCGCGTGCCGTGTCCAATCCAATCCGGCCGCGTGGCCGTGGCGGGCAGTGTCGGGCGATGAGCTCGCAGCACACCTCGCTGCCGTGCCCAGCCCATTCCTCCCTCCTCCGTCTCACCCCTGTCCGCAGGCCGCGGGGCGTGAATCGCGCCAGGCGGCAGCGGGACGCGCTTCTCTTCCCCCTCGCATTCCTCCTCCTCCTGATCCTCCTCCTCCTCCTCCTCCTCCTCGTACTCCTCCTCCTCCTCCTCCTCCTCCTCCTCCTCGTCCTCCTCCTCCTCCTCCTCCTCCTCCTCCTCCTCCTCCTCCTCCTTTTCCTTATACACAATTTCTCCCTGTCGCACCCCGAGGCCAGTTTCTAGGGCGTGCCGGACGATTCGCCTGAGACTTCCTCACCACTTATGATCCTGAAGCTTGAAACTTGACAACAGTTCCACAGATCGAGGGCGTGTGGTTTTCAAAATGTGGCTCTCGCCTTAGCGCTGCGCACATTCGTCACGCAAGAGCTTCATGGATTGAGGGCAGGTGGTTTTCGCAATGTGGCTTTCGCCGTAGCGTAACGCACATTAATTTTAACAAATTGCAAGAGCTTCACGGATTGAGGGCGGGTCGTTTTCAGAATGTGGCTCTCGCATGAGCGACGCGCACATTCCTTTCTAGACATTGCAATAGTTTCACGGATTCCCACGGTGAGGGTGCAACAACTACGTTGGTTCGCGGTGTTGCAAGCCCATGAGTGGCTTTCTGGCACGATCCAGGATCGTTAAGATGCGACAGTCAAGCTGATCCGTGGCGTTGGAATCCCGAGAACAATGTTTTGGCATACTTCTAGGTCTTCAAACGGTTGTCTTTCAACTAGGCAGTTCCCGTAGTGGAAATGAACCGTTGTGGGGGCCTATGGAAAAAAGGAGCTTGGAGGGAGGGTGTATTCCAACATCGTTGAAGACTCTTAGGTTTACACTGGTCCTCCTCCTCCTCCTCCTTCTCCTCCTCCGCCTCCTCCTCCTCCTCGTCCTCCTCCTCCACCTCCTCCTCCTCCTCCATAACTTCTCCCTGGCGCACCCCGAGGTCGGTCGAAAGGGCGGGCCGGGCGTTTCGTCTGAGATTTCCTCACCACTTATGACCCTGAGGCTTGAACAAATGCAAACAGCTTCACAGATGGAGGGCGGGTCGTTTTCAGAATGTGCTCTCGCGTTAGCGCCGCGCACGTTCGCTTTAAAGATTTGCCAGAGTTTCACGAATTGGGGGCGGGTCGTTTTCGAAATGTGACTCTCGTCTTAGCGCCGTGCGCATTCGCTTTAAACATTTGCAAGAGTTTCACGGGTTGAGGGCGGGTCATTTTCAAAGTGTGGCTCTCGCCTTGGCGCCGCGCATTCTCGTTCAAAACATTCGCGAGGGGCTTCACGGATTGAGGGCGGTTCCTTTTCAACATGTGGCTCTCGCTTTAGCGTCGCGCGCATTCGTTTTCTGATTCATTAAAAAATGCATGAGCTTCGCGGATTGAGGGCGGGTCGTTTTCAAAATGTGGCGCTCGCACTAGCGCCGCGCACCGTCCTCTCTAAACATTGCAATAGGTTCACGGATTTCAACGGTCAGCGTACCAGAGATGGTGTTTGGAAAATACATATGATTATGAGGGTCAACAGTTACGTTGATTCGCGGTGTTGCAAGCCCACGAGTGGCGTTCTGGCACGATCCAAGATCGCCATCACGCAACAGTCACGCTGATCCGTGGCGTTGGGGTCCCAAACGTAACATTGTGGCACGCTTCAGGATCTTCAAACGGTTGTCTTCCAACGAGGCAATTCCCTCAGTGGAAATGAGCCGTAGGGGGCCTAACCAGGGGGAGCTTGGCGGGAGGGTGTTTTCCAACATCGTTGATGACCCTTTGGTGTACACTGCTCCTCCTCCTGCTCCTTTTCCTCCTCACTTTCATCCTCCATTTCCTCCTCTTCCTCCTCCTCTTCCTCTTCCTCCTCTTCCTCCTCCTCCTCCTCCTCCTCCTCCTCCTCCCCCTCCTCCTCCTCCTCCTGTTCGTCCTTATCTTCCTCCTCCTCCTCATCCTCTTCCTCTTCTTTTTTCTCCTCCGCCTCCTCCTCATCCTCCTCCTCCTCCTCCTCCTCCTCCTCTTCCTCATCCTCCTCCATTCCCACTCTTCATAGATAACTCACCTCGAAAAGGGTCGGTCGAGTGGGCTGGGCGGTTTGCCGAAACGCCCTCACCACGTATGACCCTGATGCTTGCCATTTGCAGCAGTTCCAACGATGGACGGCGGGTGGTTTTCAAAGTGTGAGTCTTGCCCGAATTGCCGCGCACTTTCGTTTTAAGAAATTTGCAAAACAAAAACTCACACATTGATAGCGAGCCGTTTTCAAGTTGTGGATCTCACCTAAGCGCTGTGCACATTCGCCGTGAAGGTTTGCAATACGTTTCACGGATGGAGGGCGGGACGTTTTCAAAATCAGGTTCTCGCCTTGTTGCCGCGCGCATTTGTCTAACAACTCGAAAGTGCTTCACAGATGGAGGGCGGCCCCTTTCAAAACGAGGCCTTCGATTCAGCGCCGCGCACGTTCGTCCGAACGGCTTACCACAATCTCACGGATTCTTCCCAAAAATACGTTTTCTGACGCGATTTATGTTGTCAGGTCGCGGCAGTCAGGTTGATTCGGGTTGACACCTTTTCCCCGGGAGGAGAAGAGGTGGGAACGCGCGGTCACTGAATCACGTTGCGGCGCGACTGGCGCAGTAGCGCGAAACAGAAGACAACAGGCTTAGTATGATCGCCACGCGAGCGGGCGTGCCATCGTTCAGCTCATACAACACTCTAAAGCCTGAGAGACGGATCTTGCCTGAGAGATGGGTCTTGGGTTTACGCTGGTCCTCCTCCTCCTCGTCCTCCTCCCCCGGCTCCATCTTCTCCCCCATACCTGTACTCCTCCTCCTCCTCCTCCTCTTCCTCCTCCTCCTCCTCCTCTTCCGAATGTTGCATGCTTCGTTTTCTTCTTTTTTGTCGTGCTACTTTTCAACTTACCATGATTATTGTTCTCCTTTTTATTACTGGCATGTCCGAAGCGTGCGCTAAAAGGAACCGCGCAGAATTGACTCGCTGAGACAGATTTCCGCCCCTTGCACTTTTCCCACTGACGAGCATGTGGTAACACCGCGGACACTCTTGGCCATTGCCGGGCACAGGAGGTTCTGACCGCGCTGCCCCCGATTGCACATTTCTGGAGGTGATCAAAACGGAAATGCCGCAACGCGCCCGCGCGGCGGTAGCCGAATCTGTCGCCGCTCCAGGGCGAACGCGCAGCCCGCGCCCCGCCCTTCCCCCAAGCGGTGCAAAGCTGACCAACGAAGCGACGAGACGACGTCACCGATGAGGTGCATTGCCGTCGTCTCTCGTCGGTCTCCTCAGCTTTGCATCAGGGGGGCGGGGGCGGTGGGGCCGGCGCGGCGCTTGTCTCTGCGACTTCCAAGATACGGTCAGAACTTTAGCACCACCCGCACGGACTTCTCGGGGAAGCATCCGGGCGTCGAGCTCCTTTGCATGTTCTCAGCGCATCATCGCGCGCGGATGGTCGTTTCCTCGCTCACGCCGCAGTTATGTAACGCAATGCATCGGCCAGATGTAATCCGACATTTCCTTTCTACGAATATCCGAACAAATTTCGACGCGACGCGGCGCGGGGGCGTCCGTTGGCGTCGCCGTCTCGCCAGCGCCCAGAGCGGGCCTCGGTCGCCGTCGTAGTCGGACCGCCACCGCTCAAAATTCAAAGTAGAGTAAGATAATGGCTGGTCAGCCGTTGTCCTATTCCAGCTCTCAATGTGAAGCCCGACGCCGCCGGCGCTGCTTCGTTGTAGAAACCGCATAGGAACCGTAGAAGTCGCGTAGACACCGCGAAGTTTTACATGGAAGCCGCCGCGCACCCTCTAAAAACATCTCCCACATTTGTGTGCAACGCGCGCGGTTTCTACACGGCTGCCACCGGCCCCTGCGCGGTTTCTTCGACCCTGCCGCGACAGCGACGCGAGGGGGTGCCCCCGTGTGCCGGGCTGGGGCGAGTGGCGGAGTCAACCTTCAGAATCAGCTCGCTGCGTCACGCGCACCTTGCGCGGTGCTCCCCCCATTCAGGCTGCAGCGCCAATTGCGCGGCGCCACGCGAAGGGCGCGCGTCAAAAACGACCGCGGAGAACTGAGCCGCCGAGCCAGATCTCCGCCCCTTGCACTTCCCACTCACGAAGATTTTGTGACACCGCGGACAGTCTTGGCCATTGCCGGGCTCTGGAGTTTCTGACCGCGCTGCCCCCGATTGCGCATTTCTGGAGGCGATCAGAGCGGAAATGCCGCAGCGCGCCCACGCGGCGGTAGCCGAATCTGTCGCCGCTCCAGGGCGAACGCGCAGCCCGCGCCCCCACCCCACCCCCCCAGCGACGCAAAGCTGAGCAGCGAAGCGACGCGACGACGTCGCCGATGAGGCGCATTGCCGTCGTCTCTTGTCGGCCCTCTCAGCTTTGCATCAGGGGGGTGGTGGTGGTGGGGCCAGCGCGGCTCGCGTCTTTGCGACTTCCAAGATACGGCCAAAACTTTAGCGCCGCCCGTGCGGACTTCTCGGGGGAGCATGCGGGCGTCGAGCTCCCGCGCGCGCTCAACGCACCATCACGCGCGGGCGGTCGCTTTTTCGCACGAGCCCGAACTAGGCAACGCAATGCACCGGCCAAATGTAATCTAAGATTTCCGTTTTACGTAGATCTGAACACGTTTCGACGCGACGCGGAGCGGGGGCGTCCATGGGCGTCGCCGTCTCGCCAGCGCCCTAGGCGGCCTTCGGTCGTCGTCGTCGTCGTCATCGTCGTCGTCGTCGTCGGACCGCCCCTACTCGAAATTTAAAGTTGAATGGGAAAATGGCTGGCCAGCCGTTTTCCTATCCCAGCTGCCAATGCGAAGCCCAACGCCGCGGCTGCTGCCTCGCTGTAGAAGCCGCGAAGGAAACGCGTGGAAACGGCGTGGAAGCCGCGTGGAAACAGCGCGTTGTTACATAGAAACCGCTGCGCACCTTCAGAAACATCAGTACACCTTTATGTTTGATGGGCTGGACTGGTGCCCGTGTAAAAACACACGCGGTTTCTACGCTGGCTCTACAGGGCCCTGCAAGGTTTCCACGACCGCAGCGACGCCAGGGGGCGCCCGCGCGCGGGCTGGGGCGGGCGGTGGAATGAACCTGCAGAATCAGTTCGCTGCGTCGCGCGCATTTCGCGAGGTGCCTCCCCCATTCAGGCTGCAACGCCCGCTGCGCGTCGCCAAGCGAAGGGCCCGGGTCGCGCGTCAAAAACGACCGCGAGGAACTGGGCCGCCGAGCCAGATCCCCGCCCCTTGCACTTGTCCCACCAATGAAGGTTTGGTGCCACCGCGGACAATCATGGCCTTTGCCGGGTACTCGAATTTCTGACCGCCCTGCCCCAGATTGCGCCGTTCGGGAGGCGATCGAAGCGGAAATGCCACAGCGCGCCCGCGCGGCGGCAGCCGAATCTGTCGCCGCGCCAAGGCGAACGCGCAGCCCACGCCTTCCCCCCTCCCCCATCGATGCAAGGCTGAGCAACGAAGCGACGCGACGACGTCGCCGACGAGGTCCATTGCCGTCGTCTCTCGTCGATCTCCTCAGCTCTGTAATGGGGTGGCGGGGGTGGCGGGGCCCGCGCGGCGTTCGTACTTGCGAGATGCGGTCAAAGCTGTAGCACCGCGCGTGCGGCTTCCTCGGGGGAGCATTCGGGCGCTCAACTCCTGTGCGCGAATCCAACGCACCATCGCGCGCGCATGGTCGCTTTGTCGCACGCGCCGGAATTGCGCGACGCAATATATCGGCCAGGTGGACTCTAATATTTCCGTTCTACGAAGATCCGAACACGTTTCGACGCGCCGCGGCGCTGGGGCGTCCATTGGGGTCACCGTCTCACCAGAGTCCTAAACGGCCCTCGGTCGTCGTCGTCGTCGTCGTCGTCGTCGTCGTCGTCGTCGTCGTCGTCGGACCACTCCCACTCGAAATTTAAAGTTGAATGGGAAAATGGCTGGCCAGCCGTTTTCCTATTCCACCATTCAATGTGAAGCCCAACGCCGACGCTGTTGCTTCGGAGTTGAAGCCACATAGAAGCCCGTAGACACGGCGCAGAAACCGCGTAAAAACGGCGTATTCCTACCTAGAAACCACTGCTCACCTGAACAATGTTTAAATTACACTTTTATGTTCGATGGGTTGGACCAGTTTCTATGTAAAACATACGCGGTGTCTACGCTGGTTTGACAAATTCCTACACGGTTTCTGCGACCCCGCCGCGACAACGACGCCAGAGGGCGTTTCCGTGCAGGCTGGGACGAGTGGCGGAGTCAAGCTGCAGAATCAGTTCGCTGCGTCACGCGCACTCTGCGCGGAGTTTCCCCCGTTCAGGCTGCATTGCCAGGTTGTGCGGCGCCAAGCGAAGGGCCTGGGGCGCGCGTTACAAACGACCGCGAACAATCGAGCCGCTGAGCTTGATCTCCCCCCTTGCACTTTTCCCACTCACGAAGATTTAGTGACGCTGCGGACAGTCTTGGCCATTGCCAAATACTCGAATTTCTGACCGCGCTGCCCCAAATTGCGCCGTTCGGGAGGCGATCGAAACGGAAATACCACAGCGCGCCCATGCGGTGGTAGCCGAATCTGTCGCCGCGCCAAGGTGAAAGCGCAGCCCGCGCCGCCCCCCCCATTCCTCCAAGCTAAGCAACGAAGCGACGCGACGACGTCACCGCTGAGGTCCATTGCAGTCGTCTCCTGTCGGTTTCCCCAGATTTGCATCAGGGGGAGGGCTGGCGGGGCGCTTGTCCTTGCGACTTACAAGATACGGTCAAAAGTATAGTACCGCCCGAAGCATTCGGCGAGGTTTTCCTTTGCATGTTATCAACACATCATCGCGCGCGGATGGTCGTTGTTTTCGCACGCGCCGGTATTAGTATTACCAGTGTTAGGATGATGTTTCTGTTTGTGCCCTCGAATGGCCCTACAAGCGGTGCGATGGTGATGAAAGGGGAGGTGACATTGATGCCACAGTGATGCCTCTTTCACGGGTGGCGGATACGGGGGCCGTGTAGCGCAGAGGCCCGAGCCATGCCCACGAGCTTGATGCCCCAGGGTGGTGGGCGGGTGGTTCAAGGCCGAGCGCATGAGCCCGAATGGCCACAGGCATCGGGCGAGTGAGAGGATACACAATCGTGTTGGCAAGGGGTGATCTGGCCTTCGGGTCACAACTCGGGTGTCTGGCGGCCGTCCGGGACGATTCGGGCACCCGCGGAACGCCCCCGCCGAGGCGACGCTGCTGAAGACCTGTGGGAATCTAGGACACCGTCCGAAACGTTCCCCTCGCTACTGTCCTCCAGGACGACGGGCGACAAGACGAGGCGAAGGTGGAGGCACCGAGCGACCAGGGGCCTTCCCCTGAGATCCGACGTTGCCCCCAAAATTGATTGCACCATCGCGAAAAATCACGACAAGAGCCATAGATCCTATCTTTCCGTTGCATTTTTCGAACCGGATCGATATGCGATGGTCCTGGGGCCTGAACCAAGCGAACAGGCCCCGTGTGAAAAAATTGCAGAGCCCGGATCTCAGGGTCACTCTCTCGCGCTCGCGTTCTACACAAGTCCTCGCTAGATCTACCCACTTCTGAGCGCCGGGCGACGCTGCGATTCTTGATGCCCGTATCCATCACCTCTGGCCGCGGGCAGGGGGCGACAGGCCCTTCCTGGTGATCCTTCTCCTCCTCATGCTCCTCCCCCTCCTCCTCCTCCTCCTCCTCCTCCTCCTCCTCGTCTTCCTTCTCCTCCTCCTTTCTCCTCCTCAGCAGCACCATCACCACCAGTACCACCATCACCATCACCATGACCATGACCATGACCATGATCAGCATCATCATCATCACCATCATCATCATCATCATCATCAGCAGCATCATCATCAATAGCATCAGCATCAACATCAGCATCAGCATCATCATCATCATCATCATCATCATCATCATTATCATCATCATCATCATCATCATCATCATCATCATCATCATCATCACCAGCAGCATGAGCATGAGCATGAGCATGAGCATGAGCATGAGCATGAGCATGAGCATAAGCATCATCATCCCAACCACCGCAATCATCAGCAGCAGCAAGAAAGCAGCATCATCATCATGATCATGATCAGGATCTTGATCATGATCAGGATCATGATCAGGATTATCATCATCATCATCATCATCAGCATCGTCGTCAGCATTACCATTACCATTACCATTACCATTACCATTACCATTACCATTACCATTACCATTATCATTACCGTTACCGTTACCGTTACCATTATCCTTATCATTGTCATCATCACCACCATCATCGTCCCCACCACCACCAGCACCACCACAACCACCATCATCATCATCATCACCACCACCACCACCACCACCACCATCGTCATCACCATCCCCCACCTCTCCCTCCCCCTTCCCCCCGTCTTCGGTCTCTCCCTCCCCATGCTTCCCCCGCCGCCTCATCCCTTCTTCTTATTTCCTCCTCCTCCTCCTCCTCCTCACTCGCTCACTCCTCCTCCTCCTCCTCCTCCTCCTCCTCCTCCTCCTCCTGGCGCGGCTGCTCGAGGCCTGTCGGAGCCCGTTGGCGTCCTTGACCACCAGATTGGAGAGGTCCTCTGCCCGGCGGCCGCGCCCGTCCCCCGCCGCGGCACCATGGGCGGCAGAGCTCCGCCCTCCTGGGCAGGCCGCCGGACCAGAGTCTCTAGGCGCCAGGGCGGCAGAACTCCTTCTCCTGCTCCTCCTCCTCCTCCTCCTCCTCCTCCTCCTCCTCCTCCTCCTTTTCCTCCTCCTCCTCCTCCTCCTCCTCCTGCTCCTTCTCCTCCTCCTCCTCCTCCTCCACTTCCTCCTCCTCCTCCTCCTCCTCCTCCTGCTCCTCCTCCTCCCCCTCCTCCTGTAACTAATCCTGAAAACTATTCCTGAAACTCCTGTGAAACTCCTCCTCCTTCCTCCTCCTCCTCCTCCTCCTCTTTTCTTTCTTCTTCTTCTTCCTCCTCCTCCTCCTCCTTCTCTTCGTCCTCCTCCTCTTATTCCTCCTTCTACTCTTCCTCCTCCTCCTCCTCTTCCTCCTCCCCCTCCTCCTTCTCCTCCTCCTCCTCATATTATTATAACTATGATTAATAGTATTATTATGATTAGCATTATTAGTATTATTAGTAGTATTATTAATAATAATAATATTATGATTATTAGATCTTCTTCTTATTGCTTTATTATTACTCGTCCTCTTCTTATCATACTTAGTATTAGTATTTGTATCAGTATTGCTATGTTTATCATCATCATTAGTCGCATTCTTATTAGTATTATTATTAGTATTAATGTTAATATCATTATTATTGTTAGTATTAGTATTATTGTTATTGGCATTCGTATTAGTATTATTATTAGTAGCATTCTTATTATTATTCGTATTCGTATTACTATGCTTATTAACATTGCGTGTCTTCTTCTTTTTATTTCTATCCCTCTTCTTCTTCTTCGTCCTCTCCCTCCTGCTCCTCCAATCCCTTTTCTGTTGAATAGCTCCTACCTGTTGCCCCCCAAGGCCAATCGGAAGGGCGGGTCGGGCGTCTCGCCTGAGACTTCCTTACCATTTACCAGCCTCATTTATCACCCCGAAGCTTAACATTCGAAGCAGCTTCACAGATGGAGGGCGGGTCGCTTCCGAAATGTGGCTTTCGCCGTAGCATCGCGCATATTCGTTTTGAACAAATTGCAAGAGCTTCGCGGATTGAGCGCGGGTGGTTTTCATAATGTGGCTCTCGCATGAGCGCAGCGCACATTCGCTGTAAAAAATGCGTAAGTTTCACGGATTGAGGTTGGGACGTCTTCAAAATCTTGCTCTCGCCTGAGCGCCGCGGACAGTCGTCCTCAACATATGCAACAGAGCTGCACTGACGGAGGACGGCTCGATTCAAACATCTGCAAGAGTTTCATTGATTCGCATGGTTAGCGAACCAGAACATGTTTTTGAGAACGACTCGGGATTGTCAGGGCGCAACAATTACGTTGACTCTTGCTGTTGAAGTCCCAGGAATTGTGCTCTGGTGCGATTCAGGATCGTCGAGACGCAGCAGTCTGGTTGACTTGTGGCATTGAAATCCTGAAGATAATGTTCTGGCACGCTTCAATATGTTCACACGACTGTGTCCCAACGTGGCACTTCCCTCCGTGAAAATGATCCCTTGTATGGGGCTTCTGCAGAGGGAGTTTGAGGGAGTGTGAATGTCACTGGTCCTCCTCCTCCTCCTCCTACATTCCTTTTCTTAAAAAATAACTCTTCCCTGTCGCGCCCCGAACCCAGTCGGAAGGGCGCGCCAAGCGCGTCGCCTGAGACCATGTATGAACCTGCAGCTTAGCAGCCGGCAGCAGTTTAACAAATGGAGAGCGGGTGGTTTTCAAAGTGTGGCTCTCGCCTTAGCTAGGTGCGCACTCGTTTTGAACACTTGCAAGAATTTCGCGGACTGAGGGCGGTTCGTTTTCACACTGTGGTTCTCGCCTTGGCGCCGCGCACACTCGTTTTAAACATTCGCAAAAGACCCACAAATGGAGGGCGGGCCGTTTTCAAAATGTGTCTCTCGCCTCAGCGCCGCGCACATTCGTCCTACACATTTGCAAGAATCTCACACATGGAGGGCGGGCCGTCTTCAAAATGTGGGTCTCGCCCTACCGCCGCGCACATTCGTCTTATACAGTTGCAAGTTTCACGGGTTGAGGGCGCTTCCTTTTCAAATTTCAAAGTGTGGTTCTCGCCGTAGCGCCGCGCACATGCGTTTTAAACACTTGCAGAAGTGTCATGGATTGCGGGCGGTGCCTTTCCAAAATGCGGCTCTCGCCATCGCGCCGCGCACGTTCATTTCAAACATGTGCAAGAGTTTCGCGGACTTTGATTACGTACCAGAAATTGTGTTTTGAAACAAGTCAGGGTTGCCATGGCGCAACAATTGAATTGATTCGCGGTGCTGAAGTCCCAGGAATGATGTTCTGGTGCGTGTCAGGATCGCCAAGACGCAGCAGTCGAGCTGACCCGTAGCGTTCAAATTCTGAGAAACGGTGGTTTGGCACATTTCAGAATTTTCACACGGTTGTCTCCCAACGTGGTACTTCCCTCAGTGGAATGAACCAATGTAGGGGCCTATGAAAAGGCAGTTTGGAGGGAGGGTGGATTCCAAGATCGTTGATGAGACCTGGAATTACTCTGGTCTTCCTCCTCCTCTTCTTCCTCCTCAACATTCCCCCGTCCCTCTCCTCCTCCCCATCCTCCTCCTCCTCCTCCTCTTCCTCCTCCTCCTCCTCCTCCTCCTCCTCCTCCTCCTCATCATCATCATCGTCATCTTTCTGCTCCTCCTCCTGATATTGTACCATCGCTGACGCTGTACCATCGCTGACGCTGTACCATCGCTGTATCCTCCTCCCGCATGCTGTACCATCGCTTGCGCGACGTCCTCGAACACGCGCAAGGGCCGGACCAAGTAGGCTTCAGGCCGAACCACTCGGTCGATGACGCGTTCCTGGTCTTCGAAGTGGCATGCAGCAAATGCATGGAATGGCAAGTGCCGCTGTGGTGCGCCAGTTTGGATTTGACCAAAGCATTTGATCGGATTGAGTACGGCCCTCTCTTTAATGCCCTCCGGCGCCAAGGCCTTGATGAAGACTACACTGCCTTGCTGGCGAGGCTGTATTCTGGACAGATGGGCAGCGTGTCGGGCGCGCAAGCTTTTCGTATCCAGCGGGGGGTCAAGCAAGGCGACGTCATCAGCCCGATGCTGTTCAACGCTGGTTTGGAGTTGGCAATGGAGAGATGGAAAATCCGCATTGGTCACGCCGGGTTGTTCATAGGAGCGGGCGAAAAACTCACGAACATACGTTACGCTGATGACATCATGTTGTACGCGAGTTCTGCCGACGAGCTGGCCGCCATGATGGAAATTCTTATTGAGGAGCTTGACACAGTTGGTCTCCAGCTAAATCCGGAGAAGACAAAGATTCTTACCACGGAGGAGGGGATGGAGACTATGTTCATTGAGATTGGCGAGCACATGCTGAAAGTCATGGGAGGCAATGATGTCCACAAGTATTTGGGAAAAAGTATATCCGGGAGTTTGAAACATCGTAACGATATCGAGTTGGGTCGACGATTCCAGCGAGCTTGGCATAAATTTCATGAACACCGTCATGTTCTCACAGACCAGAACGTATCCGTAAGACTGCGGCTGAAGCTTTTCCAATCAGTCATTTCACCTACATTGTTGTTCGGACTATCGGCTGCGGCGCTGACCAAGCATCAAACGCAATCCCTGGACGTCCTTCAGGGTAAGATGCTTCGCTTGGTTGTTGGTTGGAGGCGTTGCGAGGGCGAGGACTGGGCAGACACCATGAGACGCATGAGGGACAGAATCGCCAATGCAATGCAGATCTTTCCGATTGAAAAATGGAGTGAATTGCATTACCGCCGCCTGTTCAAATTCGCGTGCAGGTCAGCATGCTCGGACACGGAATGGACTCAGAAAGTCATAGTATGGAACCCGCGCTACACGCATGGGGCTACGAGGGCGCGCGGGCGCCCTCCGACGAGATGGGACGACCGCCTCCAAGGATTCGCCCGCGATGTCTTGCATAATGTATCTCGCTGGTATGACAGTGTACACGATGGTGACGAGGACGCATTCGTCGAGTATTGCATTCACGCGTGAGGACCGCCCCCGTTCTTTTCTTTCCTCCCCCCTCCCCCCTCGGAGGCACAACGTTTGCTCTCCGTTTACGCACGTGTGCGCTCAAGCCACTGTGCTGGAGCCTCGCCCGTCTACGGGCCAACCCATGTGGTTTGACCGGGCCTCTGTCTGTCTCCTCCTCCTCCTGCTCCTCCTCATCCTCATCCTCTCCCATCCTTCCCCACCCTGCTTCCTGATCCGCCACCGTGCATCCTGGCACGTTGAGGCATGGTGGAGTGCCAAGTGCTGCCTGCTGCCTGGTAGGGGTTGCGTAAGTCTTCCATGGCTCCCCACGCTCAGCTGCGTGTGTCGGCCCTCTTCCCCCAAAGCTTCTTGGGCGGCCCGACGCCTTCCTGGGGCTCTCCAAGGCTCTCCGAGGCTTCCGAGACTGCCCAACACGGCCACCAAGGCCGCCAAGATGGCTCAGCGTTGCCTCGAGGGGTACCCGACAGCCCCTGAGCAGCGCCCAGTAGGCGCTACGAAGCCTCGACGAAACCCCAGGTCACCCCAAAAACCCTCTCCAGGACGGCCTCGAGGTACCACAAACTTTCAGTATCTTCAACGGTTTCGTGGTCCACGCTCTTCGGTCGAATATCAATCGACTTGGAGTGTTTGAGGGCCCGAAGGAGCTCACTGAGAGCCCCAAGAGGGCCCCATAGTCGGACATGGACGGCCCAAACATCAACCGCGGGTGGGAAGCAGCTCGCGATGGTGGGGGATCCTGCCTCAAGTCTGTCCTGCCTCAGTCGGTCGAAAGAGAATGCAAGTTGAGTCAAGCAGACGACCGAACATCGGAGGAGCGGGAAACATGACAAACACTGCGGGCGGGCGGAACGCGGCGGCCACTTCCTCACGCACCACCATATTGCTTCCGCCTCTTCCCTTGAACCTCATTCCCACAGCTCCTCTTCCTCATGTTCCTCCTCCTCCTCCTCCTCATCATCATCATGAACATCAGCATCAACATCGGCAGCAACGTCATCGTCACCATCATCACCATCATCATCATCATCATCATCATCATCATCATCATCATCATCATCATTATCATCATCATCATCATCATCATCATCATCATCCTCATCCTTCCTCCCCGCCCTCGTTCATCCTCCCTCCCTTCCTCCCTTTGTCCACGTCCTCCTGCTGCACTGTCTTTTCCTCTTGAACCTCCTCTTCGTCCTCATTCGCCCCCTGCTCTCTTCTGACAACACCCCGATCCTTGACCATGACGCCGCCGTCCGGGTGGTCCTTGGGCCGGTGGGAGGAGAAGGCCCAGAACATGATAGGGAGAAAAGAAGGGGAAGGACCAAATGGGGCGGGCGAGGAAACAGGGGGCGGGGAGGGCGGAAAAAGGCCAAGGACAGCATGGGGGAGAGGACCGGGGGAACGAGCAAGGAGGGGACGGGGCGAAGAGGCAAGGACAAAGGGGAATAAGAGAGAATGATAGCGAGAGGTATATAACAAAAACCACAACAACAGCAACAACAATTATCATTTTAAGAATGGTCGCTCTTATCTGATCGCGTGTCTTTCAATACGCATACCCCAAACCCTGGACACCCGCCCTCTTCGTTTTCGATCGTACCCCCTTCTGGGGGGCGTATGCATTCCCTGCCACGCGTGGTTGGTGAAACCCTTGAAAACGAAGGGTAACAGATAACGGGGGATAATGAGGACGAGGGGATCGGAGGAAGGAGGGGGGGGCAATAAGGAGGGAGGACAATGATTTGCGCTGCGAGTGTCGATTCAGCTTGCGCCATGGCTTGCGCCAGCCACTCCAACACAAGTTAACAATAAGTTTCGCCGTGGGTCGCGTCATAAACAGCGCCACGGGCCACGCACCACCCCCTTGAAAGAACACACTTCGCATACCCCCACGGGGGGACGTACTGCTGCGAACTGGTGTCAGAAACAAATTTCGTGGAACCCTGAATAGAAGCGGGATGTTGGGAGAGTTGGGCGGAAGTCAAGCGGGAGCCGCGATCCGGTGGAAATTTGCAAAGAAGTCCCAAGCGAAAACGCGATTCTTCAATACGTTGCGAGGAAACGTCAGGCGGGAGCCTTTGTTGTTGCAAACCAGGGGCCAACGACACAGTTTGACATTCAAGACTTTCCCTGATACAAAAAACAGGGTGCGAGCCCCGGGGGGGGCATTTCAATCGAAAAGACAACGTGTACCGGACGGGAAGGATCAACAGTAATTATTCATCAGAAGTGAGTTCAACAAACACATGATCGACCCACGAACCAGGAAAGGAATATAGAAACGTATGGCACGGCAGGGTTTCCAAGACACTTAATTGGGTGCTGAATTGCAATGTGCCGTGCCGCGATTGTGCTCTATAGCGTTGTGGATCGATTCCTCCTTTTTGCATCCGAATCCTGACCTTATGTGGATCTTAAGCTCGAGCTGTCTGAGCACATAGTAACTGCTCCAAAGCTAATTAACAGGAGAACGCGCCAGGGGGACGCGCCCGGAACGTCCCATGGGAAGCGCCAGGAGTCGTGCCAGGGGACGTGCCATGAGGACGCACCGCAAGACGTGCCAAAGGGACGCGCTACGGAACGTGCCAAGAGCGCGTTTCTTGATGCTCGGCGATGACGGGCGTCATGGGGAGCGGGGGGGGGTATGACATAACGCCCCCCCCCGCCGTGTGGCTCCGGCACCACAGCCGCGCCCGCGCGCACGACGCGACGAGCGACGAGCGACGACGACGACGACGAGAGCAGCATGTAGGTGGCGGTCTGCCCCACTACACCTGTGTACGCCACAACGCTCGCGTGCACCACAAAGCGCGTGTACACCACAGCGCCTGCGTATACCGCAACAACCGTGTGCAACGCAACGCCTGTGCACACCACAATGCTTGCGTACACTACAACGCCGGTGTAATGTGTACACCGCAGCAACCATGTGCAACACAGCGCCACTGTACACCACAATGTTTGCGTGCACCGCAGCGCCTGTGCACGCCACAGCGCCTGTCTACACCACAGTATCCGTGTGCAGCGCAGCGCTGGTGTACACCACAAAGCCTGCGTGCACATGACAAGTAGGAGGAGCATGTACGTGAGGATCAGCTGCGGACAACTAAACGCCACGCCAGGAACGTGATGATTATCGAATGCGACGGTCTTCCCTCCCCCCTCTTCACCTCCACCTCCTCCTTCTCGTCCTCCTCTTCCTCCTCCTCCTCCTCCTCCTCTCCCTCCTCCTCCTACTCGTCCTTACCCCCTGTCGTGCGGGCTGGCGCTACAGAGCACGGGCGCATCTCAGCGTGCACCGCAGAATGGTCCATTGCATCGGTCCACTTGATTCTCGGACGGCCAATTTAACTGGAGCTTCCCTGACGCAAATGGGAGGAGTTCGGGTGATGCGGGCGGACTCGGGAGGACTCGTAGATTCAAGCGGCGCTCCTTTGTCCACAAGGATTATTTTCTATCATTTTCTGTGGAATCCACAAGCGCTCCATTTTGTCGCAAGGATTCCACAAACGCTCAGTTTTGTCGCAAGGACTTTTTCTAGCATTGTATATACAACTGTGGTGTTGTGCTGCACACGGTTGATGTGGTGCACACTGGCGCCATGGTGTACACAGGCACTGCAATGCACGCAGGCATTGTGGTGTACACCGGTGATTTGTTGCGCACGGTTGATGTGGTGTACGCAGGCGCTGTGGTGTACACAAGAGCTGTTGTGCCCGCGGGCACGGTGGCACAAAGTGACGCTGTGTTGCACGCGGCTGCTGTGGTGTACATAGGCGGCGTGGTGTGCACAGGCGCTGTGGTGCACGCAGACACTTTGGTGTACACAGGCGGTGTGGTGCAGATCGCCACCTACAAGCTGGTGCTACCCGTCCTCCGTCATTCCTAGGCATTCCCAGACGCCGCCGGCGCGAAACGTGACGTCATCTATCCCTCCCCCCAGATGACTGCCGTCATCGGCGCGGAATAAAAAACAGGCTCCAGCCACGTCCGCACGCACGACGACGATGAGCGACGAGCGACGAGCGACGAGCGACGAGCGACGAGCGACGAGCGACGAGCGACGAGCCACGACGACGACGACGACGACGACGACGACGACGACGACGACGACGACGACGACGACGACGACGACGACTGCGGACCAGACTCCTATGCGGATTCCTACGCGGACACCTACGCGGATCCCAATGCGCACGGCGGCAGTGCCCGGAGCGCACGAGGGGGGGGAGCGTTACGTCATAGAGGGGGGGGGACCGGGGGCCATGACGCCCGTCATGCCCCAAGCAATAAAGAAACGGGCTCCAATGGACGTGCCAGGGTACGCGCCGCGCCACGTGCCAGGAGGATTCGCCATGGGACGCGGCTGGAACGAGCCAGGTTGCAAGGCTGAGTTGATCGATCTTCATGTACCTTGCCAAGGGCTGTGCTGTGTTGCGCCGTGCTGAATTGCGATGTGCCATGACGCGATTGTGCTCTGTGGCGTTATGGATCGAGTCCTCCTTTTTCCATCCGAGTCCTGACCGAACTGGTCTGGATCTTAAGCTCGAGCTGCCTGAGCACATAGCATCTGCCCCAAAACTAATTGACACGGGACATGCCAGGGGGACGCGCCAGGGGGCGTGCCATGGGGACGCACCGCGGGACGTGCCAAGGGGACGCGCTACGGAACGTGCTAATGGACATGCCACGGAACGTGCCAGGGGACGCGCGCGACGTGCCAGGGGAACTCGCCACTGGACGCGTCACGGAACGTGCCAAGGAACGTGCCAGGTTGCAATGCTGAATGCACCGATCTTGATGTACCGTGCCGAGGGCTGTGCTGTGCTGCGCCGGGGGGGAGGGGCGAGGCAGGAGGGGACGAGGAGGGAAGAAGAAGGGGGGGTGAAAGGGAGGGGGCAGGAAAAACATGAGAGAGCGTGATCCACCGCCGCTTTACTGTGGAAAATTGCCAACCTTTTCCTCCGGAGCCCGGGGGTCGCCCCCCCCCTCCGGAAAAACCCCCCCCCCTCTGCTGGACACCCCCCCCCCTCCCCCGTCAAAACCCCCCCCCCCCCCTCCCCCAACACCCCTCCCCCCCCCCCCTCTCCCCTTGATAACCGGGGGGGGGGATACACTACCGGTTCGAACCCATCCATCAACCCCCCCCCTCTCCGGATCCAGAAAACCCGGGGGGGGTCACTACCCGGAGGTAGGTCACGAGGTTCGACCCCCCCCCCCCCAACGCTCGCCAGCAAACGACTCCCGGTCCCCACCACCGTCCGCAACACATCCCCCACTGGTGTTCCCAGCACCACTGTCCTCACCACCGCTGTCCCCACTGGTTCCACCACCGCCCCTACTGTCCCCACCAGTGGCCCCACCACTGTCGCACTGTTCCCGCTGTCCCCAGAACTGTTCCCACCACGGTTCCACTCTCCCCACTGTCTCCACGGCCCCAACCACTGCCCGACTATCCCCACTGTCCCCACTGTCCCACTGACTCCGCCGCTGTCCCACTGAGCTGTCCCACTGTTCCCACCACTGTCCCCACTGTCCCCACCACTGTCCCCACTGCACCTCTGTCCCATTGTCCCACCGCCGTCCTCGCCACCGCCTTCACCACTGTCCCCACCACCATTGTACCCTCCACTGTCCCACTGTTTCCACCTCATTCCCATTGTCCCCACACCACTGTCCCCACCACCACCGTCACCACCACTGTCCACTGTCGCCCCCTGTTCCCACCATTGTCCCCACCACTGTCCCCACCACTACCGTCCCACCACTGTCCCACTGTCCCACTGTCCCCACCACTGTCCCGCTATCCCCTCACCACTGTCCCCACCAACACCGTCCCCACCACTGTCCGCACCCCCACTCGTCGGTTTTCGAGGGGGGGGGGGGGTTCGAACCGGTAGTGACCCCCCCCAGTTTCCGAGGGGGGGGGGGGGTTTCGAACCGGTAAAAAAAGATAAAATAAAAAAATAAAAAAAGTGATACCCCCCCCCCCCTTTTCGATGATGAACTGGGGAGTATGTGGGGGAGGGTTCGAAACCAAGTATTGACCCCCCCGGGTTTTACTGGAGGGGGGGGGGAAGGGTTTCGAACCGGAGTGAACTCCCCGCCCCCCGGTTTTCCGCCAGCAAGTGTAGAACTCGCTCTTTCAAAGATATCCGGTAGATGGTGTATATAAATATATATATGGAAAGAGAAGAAAGAAAGAAAGAAAGAAAGAAAGAAGAAAGAAAAGGAGAGAGAGAGAGAGAGAGCGCGAGGGCTGGGGAAGGGGGGGGCGGAGCAGCAGGCACGGGAAGCGAGAGGAGAGCGGGGGGGCCGGGGGGGGGGGGGCAGGCGAGGAGCGGGCACGCCGGAGCTGCAGCCGCGCCCGCGCGGACGGGACGGGGATCGAGGACGGGGGCGGCGAGGGGGGGGGCGGGCGAGGAGGAGGCGGAGGAGGTGGAGGAGGCGGAGGAGGCGGGGGAGGGGGGGGGAGCGAGCCAGGGCAGGAGAGAGGCGAGGGAGGGGAGGGGGGGGGGGGGAGGGTGGGGGGGGGGGGGAGGAGGGGGGGGGAGGAGGGGGTGGGGGGGGGATGGGGGGGGTGGGGGAAAGGGGGGTTGGGGTGGGCGAAGGGGGGGGGTTCGGGTCGATGGGGGGGGGGGGGGGGGGGGGGGAGGGGGGGGGGGGGGGGGGGTGGTTAAGGGGAGGAAGAGGGGGGGGGGGGAGGTATGGGGGGGGGGGGGGTTGAGTGATGAAGGAAGGGGATAAGGTGAGGGATGGGGGAGGGAGGACAAAAGGTGGGAGGGAGGGGGTTTTTTGTGTTGTTGTGAGTTTTTTTGCGAGAGAAAGAGTGAGGTTTTGATGTTGAGATGGTGGGTAATTGGGTTTTTGTTAGGTTGGTTTTGGGAGATGGAAAGAGAAAGAGAGAGTGGAAGAGAGAAAGAGAGAGACAGAGAAAGAAAGAATGTTTGTTTTTTTTTTGTTGAAAGATGGATGGCGTCGAAGCGACTGCATCCATGAATTGCAAGAGTGGGTTGTGGTCACACGATGAATAAGTAGAGCAACCCACTCCTTCAGCTCGAGCTTGGCCTTGGGGGTTTTGGAGAGGAGGTCGCGAATCTCCTCGTTGTAGATCTCCAAATACGAGGCACGTACCAAGAATTTCTTGTTCGGCGTGCTGTTGATATTCCGGAAGATGTGATGGAAAGTTCGTGGAATGACGCCGTATTGCTCCTCGTTGCCATCGGGCCCAACCATTGTGTGTGTTTTTCCAGTTCCTGTCTGACCATACGCAAATATTGTGCCATTGTAACCATCCATCACGTTCTCGACTATCGCATAGCCAGTCTGCTCGTAGAAGTCAGCCTGCTGCGTGTTAGGACCTTGGCAAACCAACCCACTCATCAATAATAATAATCCTGATCCTTTCCATCACCCGTGTCAAGCTCCTGCTCCTCGTGCTCATCCTGCTCGTCATTGTCCTGCTCTTGCTCCTGCTCCTTGTTATGTACTCCTCCTTCTCGTCCTCGTTCCACTCCTCATTATCCCCACCACCACCATCATCAGCAGCATCAGCAGCATCATTATCATCGTCATCATCATCAGCATCATCGTCACCAGCATCGTCATCATCATCATCATCATCATCATCAGCATCATCATCATCATCATCATCAGGAACAGCATCATCGTCATCATAATCATCATCATCATCATCAGCAGCATCATCAGCATCATAATCGTCATCATCGTCGCCGTCGTCATGGCCATCAGCATCATCATCGTCGTCATCATCGCCATCAGCATCAGCATCAGCATCAACATCATCATCATTACCATTACCACCATCATCATCACATCATCATCAGCATCATCATCGCTGTCGTCGTCATCATCATCGTCATCATCACCGTCGCATCCACCATTGTCATCAGCAGCAGCTGCACCGCCACCATCAGCATAATGATCATCAAAAACATCCTCATCATCATCAGCAAGTACAACTTTACCAACACCATCACAAACACCACCATCATCAGAACCAGCAAACGCATCATCAGCATCAGCATCCACATTAGCATCAACAGTATCACCATCATCATCACCATCCTACCATTATCCTCATCCTCATCATCACCATCACCATGGCCATCATCACCATCACCATCATCATCATCATCATCATCATCATCATCATCATCATAATCAGCATCACAAAAGTCAATCGCCATCATCATCATTGTCATCAGCACAATCTGGATCAGCATCCACATCCGCATTAGCACCAACCACATCATCATCATCATAAGTATAATCATCATCGTCATCATCATCATATTGATCATCCTAACCCTCACCACCACCATCATCATCATCCAAATCAGCATCATCATGATCATGATAATCATCGTCATCATCATGTTCATCATCATCAGCAGCAGCATCATCGTCCTCATCATCATCAGCAGCATGATCATGATCATCACCATCACCTATCCTCAACCTCATCCGCATCCTCATCATCATTATCATTATCATCGTCATCATCAGCATGATTGTCGTCATCGTCATCGTCATCAGCATCGTCATCAGCATCAGCATCGTCATCAGCATCAGCATCATCATCATCAGCAGCATCATCATCACCGTCCTCATCCTCATCCTCATCCTCATCCTGATCATCATCCGCATCCTCATCCTCATCCTCATTCGCATCCACATCCTCATCCTCATCCTCACCCCATCCTCATTCGCATCTTCATCACAATCCTCACTCTCAGATCATCCTCATCCTCATTTTCATCATTCTCCTCATCCTCATCCGCATCCTCATCTGCCGCCGCCTCCTCACCCTCCTCCTCCTCCTCCTCCTCCTCCTCCTCCTCCCCCTCCTCCTCCCCCTCCTCCTCCTCGTAATCATCCTCCTCCTGCTGCTGCTCGTCATCCTCCTCCTCATCCTGCTCCTCCTCCTCTCCTCCTCCCCTCCTCTCCTCTTTCCTCCTCCTCTCCTCTCCTCTCTCGTCTCCTCCTCCTCTTTCCTGCTCCTCCTTCTCCTCCTCCTCCTCCTCTCCGCCTCCTCCTTCTCCTCCTCCATCTCCCCCTCCCCCCCCTCCCCCAATCCCCCCCCTCCCCCCTCACCCCTTTGCCATCCCCGCCCTCCTACCCGCCCTCTCTCCCCTCTCGGAGACCACCCAACCCCATCAGGGAGAAAAGGCGGAGCCAGGGACGGGTAGGCCACGACGAGCACAGGGCGCGCAAAATAGTAGGAGGACGCGAGATCTACACGCGCACACAGACCCTGGCCAGGCCGATCCCTGGCCTCGCATCGGCCCGGCCAGGATCGATTCAGGGAGGCTCTTCTTCGCGCTCCAGCCCCCAGGTGCCATCCTCGGAGAGCGGCCGCTCCCCGCCGAAATGCCCCCGCCGCCGCCCCGCTCTGCCTCCAAATCTCTCTCTCAATCTCCCTTTCCCTCTCCCTCTCTCTCCCTCTCTACGGTTAAGTCGGGCGTGTCCCCCTACAGGGATATTTTCGACGAAAAATAAAACATACCCCAAAAGTACACCAAGAAGGTCAAAAAAAAGAGTCCCCTGACTATTTTTTGGGTTATTGTTTGACTATTGTTGGGGTATTTTTTATTTTTCGTCGACAATCCCCCTGTAGGGGGACACGCCCGACTTAACTCTACGGCCGAGCGGCCCGCGAGCGACAAGGCTGACGGTGGCGCTCCAATAGCTCGTAAGAAAAGAGAGAAGTATCGTCCTATGAGGGGAGCGCCACCACATGCTCGTATGTAAGCGTGGAACAGGGCGACGTGAAAAAACAGGCCCCTCCCAAAACACAGACACTCGAGGAAGAAAAAGTACAACTGCATGACCATAAACGTCCAGAGCTCCGCGCAGATTACTTGGATCGGCGCTGGACCCCCCTCCCTGGCGCGCGCAGCATGCCAGGGGCGGCGCCAGAAAGGTCGCCAGGGGTGCTCAGCGCCCTCAGCGCCGATCGAAGAAATCGGCGCGGAGTTCCGAATGTTTATGTTTATGCCGTTGTTCCTTGTTCGATCCCCCCCACACACACACCTTTCTCCCCCGCCCCCCCTTTCATCAATCAGCTGCTCGATATGAACACTACTCTCCTCTACCTACCCCGATACTGTCCAACGCCATCTCTCGACATTGGGAGAATACCACACTAGGCTCGTTACAGACGTTCAAGATCAGCGATAAGGATGGAATTCGACACCCTGCCGCGCGCCCAAATGAAAAAACGAGGGGGGAAACAACAAAAGCACAAAAGCCCTACAAACATCAAGGATACAAGGGACCCTAGCCAAGCAGCGCCCTTGGCCCCGCGCGCCAGTACGCATCGGGAAGAATACCCTTAGGGCATGAAAACCGGAAACGCACTAAGAATGGCTACAACCACACGAATGCAAGATGCCCTGACGAAAAAGAACCCGCCGTGACGCCGACTTTGACAATACTACATTTTGTTTGCCAGATTTGCTTAAATCCTTCGCTGCCGCCGAGCGCAAGGCCGTACACCTGGTCGAAGGTAAAATCCTTGAAATCCGTGGTGCCGGGGCGCCTCACCCGCGCGACCGCCTCCTGATGGGGAAGGGGGGGGGCCAACCAGCTCCGCCGGGCCTCCAAAGGCACCACCTCGGGCTCGCAGTCTTTGTGGGCATGGCCTCCGTTATTATCATCCTCATGGCCAACAACAAAATCATGATACCGGAGAACAAAAACCAATCATAATCTTTTTAGGGCTGTAGGGCTATAGGGCTATATGGGCTATAGGGCTATTTGGCTATAGGGTAATAGGGCTACAGGGCTACAGGGCTAAAGGGCTATAGGGTATTGGGGTATAGGGCTATAGAGCTATAGGGCTGTACGGCTATAGGGCTATAGGGCTGTTGAGCTACAGGGCTATAGGGCTATAGAGCTATAGAGCTGTAGGGCTATAGGGCTATAGGGCTATAGGGCTATAGGGCTATAGGGCTATAGGGCTATAGGCCTATAGAGCTATAGAGCTATAGGGCACCCCCGGGCGCCCGGGCACCCCCGGACACGCCCGGGCACCCGGGCACCCGGGCACCTGGGCACGCCCGGGCACCCGGGCACCCCCGGGCACGCCCGGGCACACCCGGGCACCCGGGCACCCGGGCACCCGGGCACCCCCGGGCACCCGGGCACCCAGCCGCCAGCCACCAAATCGGCGCCGCACCTCACCTAACCATATGAGTCCGCTAGGACCCCTACAGAGGTAAGCTCTGATTGGGGAATCAACAACAATATCATCAGCATCCTCAGCATGTCCATTATCACCATCACCATCAAGATCATCATCATCATCATCATCATCACCACCATCAGCATCAGCATCAGCATCAGCATCAGCATCAGCATCAGCATCAGCATCAGCATCAGCATCATCATCATCATCATCATCATCATCATCATCATCATCATCATCATCATCATCATCATCGTTATCAGCATCACCATCACAATCACCATCATCATCACCATCGTCATCATCATCATCAGCAGCATCATCATCAACATACGTAGCCGTCACCATGTAGATCTGAATGAACCGCATATTCATCCGAAACAGCACCATCATCAGAACAGCACTACACATCTACGTACACATGAGCGTCCTCATCATAATCATCATCCCCACAACCACCACCACCACCACGGCCCCCACCACCGTCATTACTTTCCTCATAGCATCCTCGGTATTTCGTCCCAGAATCGTCATTCCTCGACAATTGAGCGCGTTCCTTGTTCCCTCTTAACTCAGGGGATCCTCTCCCATGGATGCTAAGAACCCGATAGTTCCCGAACGGTGATGCGCAAGATAGCGGCAATCTTCTGGTTAGTAAATGTAAGGACATGGATCAGGGGGACGTAAGACCTGGGTACGGGGGACTCGGAAATCCCCGACGAGGTCGTCAAAAACATGACGAGGCCGAGCCTGCATTTTGACGAGGCCTCCCGCTGCAGACATCCCACGAAACTCCTCCTCGTCAAAATCCGAGTCGCGGTCGTCAAAAAACGATGGCGAACCCGAGTCCCGGCAAACCCGGGTCTTACGCTCCCCCGAATGGACGATGACGCGCGCGTGCCAAAAAAGGTTGGGCGCACAGTTTCCCGGTAGACGCGAGCGCGTCCATTTCTGTACCTTGATCCAAACGCGCGCTGCGTCGCGCGAGTGGGTGCTTGAAGGAGGGGCGTAGGGACCGATGACGACGACTCCCCCCGCGGCGGGCTCCGAAGTCACCCCGCCCACATGCCAGAATCCAGCGCACGTCGCTAAGGCGCGCCAGCCAGTTTTTCAGCACGGCCCATGCGAGTGGTGCCCACTCCTGCTGCAGCGGTGGAGGCCTGGCTGCTCGACGCAGCCCCGAACTATACCAGACAGGCCCGCGGGGCGCCAGGCGCTGCTCAATCCGCTGGAATGGTCCTGCCCGCAACACGCTTCGTCGTTCACCTGGAGCTGCCGCCCCGACCTCGATTCGAACTTGCACCCACTGAGCTCTCCGCCCTTTGGTCTCGCCATCGTTCGGACGTCCATTCCCTGTGTTTTTGTCGGTTCCGTGCGTGGTTTTCTCGCCAACTGATCATGGATGCTCCTCGACTGTCCTCGCCGAAGGAAAACTGCACACGTCCGAGCGATGCCAAGTGGTTCGTCCCGAAACTCAGCGTTCATGTGTTGCGAGCCATGCGATTCTGCCGTCGTTCATCGGTCGACCATCGCCAGCGCTTGCAACTCCTATCTCCGCTGGCCCACCAAGAATCCGAATCGTTCCACCAGTTCCCGGACCATGAAGCATCTCTGTCGCCGCGACCTCCAGCATGACTCCTGCCTCTGCCCCTGCCTTTTCCAATGGAATCGTACGTGCCAGCGCAGTCATCCCCGGAAGCGCGCGAGCGCCCTCTCTTGGCGCTAACCCGTTTCCCCACGTCTGTTCGGTGACCGTGGTCAACCTTCGCCAGTCGCAGCTCGACGCCATCGCCGCAACGCCTACGCAGCACGTCCCATCCGCGGCCAAACGCGTCAGCCCAGTCACTTCCTTGGGCAACCTGGTCGGATGCCGCGGCAATGGCAACCGTCGCCACGCTCATGCCACACGCGTGGACAATACCATCTTGACACGGGCACCTTTCGATTGTTCGGTGTCATTGAGCGCCCATGCTTGGCCAAGAGCATCGGAGACACTTTGCAAGTGCCCTCGCCGCCCTGCTCAAATTTGGCAGACGCAGCACGGCGTGGATCCAGGAAGGGCGCCGCCTCCCGGGCGCATTCACCTCTCCACGTCTCACAACAGACTACCTGCAGGCAAGAGCCCACATGATTGCGGAAAGATTCCACGACATTGCCCCCACGAAACTCTTCGACGGGTTCGAAACACTTCTTCGCGGGCTCAAGCGCGGCGGCGCGCGCGCGAATAAGCTTTTGTGTTGTGCATAGTACAACACTCGCACCAGAACCATTGCAAACGTAGAAATCCAATCGCTCAGCGCCACTGGCTGACTTGAGTGCGTAGGCCGGCATGGCGACATTTCTACTGCATGGTCCGTAGTAGAACACAACAAAACGGATGCGAACTTGGAAATTCAACCACGCAGAATGAAGGCCTCACTTGAGTTCCCCAGCCCACATGGCGACTTTGCGAGGGTGGACAACGCAGCAACTCCCGCGCGGGCGCCCGGGGAGTTTTGCCCACGCTTGGCCAGGGCACTCAAGTGAACCCTTGGCGGAGAAAGATTCGATATCCAAATTAACATGGGTCATGTTTCCTAACGTTGGCCCACCCTAACCTCCTAACGTCGGACGAAGGCGCACCGAAACCGATCCGTGATGCAGCCCAGGGGTGATCATCACCAGGGAATGCGCCTTTCTGTCGCGGAAGCTCATGCGTGTTAGAGCGGAAGAAGCACTTCTTTCCGCACTCGCATTTCTCGCCAGCATATGCCTTCACCTTCGCCTTGCTTGCCGGCGCAACCCTTGCCCCCCGCCTCGCCTCCCCCCGCTCGCGCCAGTCGTGCAACTCCTTATGCTCTCCTTCGCGGCCTTCACCTTAGCTCCGGACGGAGACGCTTCCCTGCAATGATTCGGGCTTCTCCCACATGTCACGGGCGATCTCCTCGGCCTCGGCGAGTCCGCGGCGTTCCTTCCCCCGCGCTTACCGTCGCGGGCACTTCGGTCGCGCGCCGACCACGGCGCCGACTTCTAGCCCCGCCCCCCCGCCGATGACTGAGCGGCGGCTTCGGGCGCCCCAAACTTCTCTTGAACTGCGCGAATACTGCGACGGCGCTCTCGACGACATCTGCGAATCTCCGCCTCTCGGACTGGGAGTGGCAGCTCGGTCTCGGCCCCCGGTCTCGCACCGCCTCCAATATTGCCTGCGTATCGAGCGTCCTGTATCGTTACTTGCGGGGGCGCCCCAATCACTCTTGAACAAACACATAACTCCGTCGCTGCAGTTGCCCGCCGCCAAAGTGCTCCGGCAAAATTTTGCACGCGCAAGCTTGACGGCTCAGTCCTCGGCTGCGCGGGCATAGCAGGCCTGTTTGCTCCGCGGTCTCATTAGTTTCCGAATATGAACTCATACTTTACCTTGGCATTATCCTCTCAATGTGTTCACTAACCCACCCGCAAGATCCCTTGGTAGTCTCATCTTCAAAACTGACATGAACATTTCAATGTCTAGGTTCTGGCGGGCCACTTTCTCTGCTGATTGAAATGGCGCGCTCGGATGGGGAGGCACTCGCTGGGTTCCCACATTCCGCCCAGCAGCGTCTTCCACACATAACAGAAGTTGGCCCGTTCTTTGTCGGCCCTCTCCATCCATTCCCTGGTATCGCGCTCATTGTCAGATCGTTGCGCGGGTGGGCCGCACTCTGATCAGACCTCATTGCCGCGCACTGCGCGATCACCTCCACCGTCCTGTTAATCAGAGCCAGCAGCTGCATCATCGAACCACGCAGCCCCTTTTACTGGACATGACGTGTTTCTCAGCGAGCAAATCGACGGCCATGGGGAAGCCGGGCTGCGAGAACTTGGCCGGGCCCTGCATGGCGCTTCTGACAAGGGGTGCTGTTGTCCAGTGCCCGTTGGAAACATGACAAGGGATTGTCATAGTCGGAAACCGCCGCCGAAATCGCGCGGCATGGCCGTCTCTTCCACTCAGGTCGGTTCGCGGCGCTTGAAATCCACGGCAATGCCACCCTCAATCCGTCGCTCTTCCCGCGCGGCTTCGACTCATCCTCCAGGCGCGGCAGGAGCTGCCAGCCCGCCCCCTGGCGGACCGTCTCCACCGAGTGCCCCCCCGCACTGGGCGGGCCGGAACCGCCGCCGGAACTTCGGGTGGGCCGCTGGGCCTGCTCCCGCCGCGGTCCCGCCAGGTCCGCCGCCACCTGGAGAGCTCCCGGGCCTCCCGGTAGTCCTCTCGACCATCCGGTCCAAGGTTCCCTCTCGTTCCTACGCGCTGCATCGCTGAGGCCAGCTAGGGGTGGGCACTGTCCCCCAGGCCAAGTCCCCACCCCCGTCGCCTCCGCCGCTTGGACCTCGGACCGCCAACCCCCAGCGCCCATGGGCGCCTGCTCAAGCCTCTTCGGGCTCTTCGCATCAGTTGCGTGCGGGGCGGATTCTGCGCGCGGACCAACCAAGCCCTGCATCTTCGTCGGATGCATCCTCGTGAAATACCTCAACAAAAGTGGCGCAGGGGTAGAAACCGAAACGATGTTGAATCGAAGCCATTCGACTTAGGACGGGCATATTCTCCTACAGGCGGATTCTAAAAGAAAAGCATGAACAACAAAATTCCCCCACATAGTCACAAGAAAAAATAGATCAACGTCCCCAGACTATATTTGTTACCATTATTGAAGATTCCTCCTGTAGAGGGGTATGCCCGATTTAATATTAGATAGCTAGTTGTAAACAAATCTGGGTGGCGATGTGCGCGCGCAAGGAGAGGCGGGCACACCTCTTCCCGGTAGACGCGGACGCGTCCAGTCCTCTGCTGGTTCCTAGCGCTGAAACGCGCGCGGCGTCGCGCGAACAGATGTTCAAAAGAGAGGCGGAGGAAACAACAGCAGCATCGGCATCGGCATCGGCATCGGCATCGGCATCGGCATCGGCATCGGCATCGGCATCGGCATCGGCATCGGCATCGGCATCGGCATCGGCATCGGCATCATCATCATCATCATCATCATCATCATCATCATCATCATCATCATCATCATCATCATCTTCAGCAGCAGCAGCATCAGCATCAGCATCAGCATCAGCATCATCATCATCATCATCATCATCATCATCCTAATCCTAATGATCCTCCTCCTCCTCGTCGTCGTCTTCGTCTTCGGCTTCGTCTTCGTCTTCGTCGTCGTCGTCCTCACCCGCATCACCATAGCGAGCCTGTCAACCAAAGACCTCCTCAGGTTTGGGCCAGCTGAGGCCCGAATGGCAATGGTCAGACTCCTCCCCCCCCGATCCTTGAGGTCCATCTCGACGATGTTCTCCCGGGAGTCCTGTAGCACGGGGGGCGCCCTGGTCTAGCGCCGCCCTCCGAAGCACGACGGGGGGGGGGCGCAAGATCAGGCGTGGCCGTGGTGCTCGCTCTCTCCGCCCCGGCCCGCCTCCCAGGTCCCCGCTGGACGCGAAACCACGCCCGTACGATGAGGATAGAACCTCGGATGAGGATACGAAAGCAGGGAATCTACGAGAGCCGGCGGGGTTGGAGCTGCGGGTCTTGAGGGACGCAGGATTCTCTCTC